TAAAGAAATTATCTAGGCTTGTTTCTTGTGAAATATAAACTAAGATTTATAATGTAGGAGTTTTATCATACTCAATGGAAAATTCTTTTGGGTCTAAGCTGCTTAGCGACACTTCAAACTGTCTTTAGTTGTATATGGTGCATATTGTAGCTACATAATTGCATGTGGTACTTTTCAAAAGGAAGAAAACTAGTCGGACTGCGAAATACTCTTTTCACAGTTGGTTTGTTGGCTCTTAAATTGTGTGTGTGAGTTTTACTCTAGATCCTTGTGTACTCCATACAGCTTCTTGGAGTGTCTAGAATCGATATCATCAGAAACGACAAAGAATGTTGCAACCGACTACGCAATAATCTATTCAATATGTAAAAAGCTGTAGGAGCTATAAATCTTTGCCGACTTAGAGTGGGCGTGGCCGGAAAAATATGACTTAAAGGAAAGTCTCATCTTACGACTTTGGTGCTGCGCGTGTATTATCTAAAACAAGTATACATACTAGCATACAGCTTGCATGCAAATTGGTAATTGCGTAAAGCCAATATACTTTCTTACCCCCCAGGCAACAGAGTATCAAAAACTGGTACTAAAACTTTTAAGGAGTTGTTGTGGCTGCAGTTACAATTCTTTGCAGCAGCAACAAAAAGAAAACACACACACAAACACACATGTGCACACATTGCACACTATGTTGTTTCTGCCCCTAAGCTCCTGCTTCCCGTTCAGTTGGCTGTGAAATGAACAAACTATGCAATGGAGAGCGGATGGGACAGGCGGCATCTGAGTTGGCGGCTGGATGCACGACAAGCATCGAGTTGGTAGCCAGTAAACAAAAGCGAACATTGCGTGCCAAAAATTCCGGAAATTTGTAAAAGTCAGAACATGTGTAAGCTGGATTTTTACACACACACAAACGCACGCACACACACGCACACTCCATTGTTGCTGCGTGTAGGTGCGCTAGTGACTGGACGCCCCGCCCCCCGTCTCGTAAACCCGGACGGCGCTGCCATGCTTCGAGTCTTAAGTGCTAAATTGAAATTCCAAAATTAAGTAATTTCTCCCAGGGGCAAGTTGTGCAGGCTGCCGTTCTAAAACTGGGCGTATGACAGTGTTGTAAAACAACGGACATAAAACCGCAGAGACCCAAAAGACAACTACAACAATGAATAGCACTAATAGTTTGTGCTATATGTGGCCGACACATAAAAATGCAAAGCCCCGCTGGAAGGCGGCCGCATCCACACATCCACAGTATCCACAGCATCCACAGCATCTTCGGCAGCCGCAGCAAAACAAGCTGTAAAAATTATAAGGAAATGGCAAGAACATAAACAACAACAGCCACGCTGTGTGCTAGACATGCGGAACGAAAGCCGACTTTCGGCGGGCTCAACTGAAGCACGTCATTTACCCATAAACCGATGGGTCGCAAAATTTGTTTTACTGCTTCTTGGCCAAGGAAATCGGAAAGATTTTTTTTTCGGATTGTTTTGGGTTTGCTTTAAATGATTGCGCATGGAGAAGGTTGCTGAAACTTTATCTACGAACCCAAACTGCGCTACCTACAGGTTTCGTAGTGTAAAGTTCTTTAACATTGTCTATATTCTAAAAACATATAAATAAAATACCAATATAAAAAAATAATATATTTAAAATTGAATTATTCCATTTATACTCCAAATACGTAGGATACCTCAACTTTCTTGTTTTCCATGTAAAGCGTTCTTAGCATATAAGATTCAGGGTACGATTTCTGATAGTTAAAATGTTTGTATAAATACATACTTTCTTTTTGATAGTGAACCCGTTTAATGTTACAAAATATCATGTAGCTTGAATATACTAATCTTTATATGTAAGACAGGTTCAGCAGAAATTATTGTTGTTTCTAGAATGTATGATTGTATGATTTTTTATTTGTTCTTCGTTGTTTCGCGTTGTTGTTGTTCTACAATCAATTTGAATATTTAGGCAGGTAATCAAAGCCCAAAGACACTTTACATATTCATACTTATAATTTACACCTTAAAAGTTATCTTTTAACTCCTTTCCAACCTTACCAACTGTGAATGATGTTGTGTAAGAGTTTTAGTTTTGGTTCGCTTGGCCTGCCAAACATTAACATTCCTCTTCTTTGACTTTGCCCAACGCTTTTTCAATTTCGGCGATGAAGCAGCAAAAAAATGGTAGCTCGTGCTGGGAAATGGCACATCCACGCCCTGGCCCTGGCAGCACCTCCCTGGAGCTGTGTGCTTATGGGCAGCATCGAGGGGGGTAGGGAGGGGCGTGATGCTTCCGGAACTAGCTGCCAAGAGAAACTTAAACACTGCTTGCATTTTTCATATGACACGGCAACTATTTATTACCCCAACCAGCACCTAAGGCCCCAAGCCTGAGACGACTTCGTAGCCCGAAGATGTTGTTCTTGTTGTTGTTGTTGGACGTGTGTAGTGGCAACAATAAAGCTGGCTATAGATGTGATGTGACCGGTGGTTGTTGAGGCGTCAACTGCTGCTGCTGCTGCTGCTGTTCCTTTAGCCTCCAGTTGTTGATGATGATGAAGAATGCGCATGTGTTACTAACGGCCCGATTATTTTTATTGTTTATTTGCTTTGATTTTTCCCTCCTGTTATGTGTGCTGTTCTCTTTCATGTTTTCATTTTCCCTCTACCAACTGCCTAGCCAATGTGTGTGTCTGTGTGTGTGTGGGTGTGTGAATGTTGTGTGTGTATTGGTTTGCGCATTTGTGCGTAACGAATAAATTTAGCAAAATAAATAAGGACAATAATCCTTTTGAATGCATTGCAATTGAGCTTTTTACAGCCATTGGCTTCCCTTTGCTCCGCTTTGGTTTCTGCTTGCAGCAACACACACACGCACACACACACACACGCGCACACGCACACAAGCACACACGTGCCATACTTACCCCAACATTGTGTGCCCAGTTAGCTGAGCCTGGCTCTTGGCCAGAATTGGTTTGTCCAGTCGCCCTCGTCCATCTAATGCCTTTCTATTTTGCTTGATTTGCATTTCAATTCGAAATCAAATTTTTCAATTGCCAGCTGGACACACATTGCGTACCCTTGGATATACATATATATATATATATATATATATATATAATATGTGTGTCTCGACTAAGTAGCGTCTGCTAACACCCACACACACACAGAGTCGTTCACTCATGACCGACACACATAATTGAATTTGTGCGCACAAAAATTCATAGCATGCTTTTTGGGGCCGCCCTCCGCTGGGATGTTCCAGATCCATGTAATTGACAAAAGCTGCGCGCCAAGCTGTTAAAATTTGAAATCAATTTATTTATATTGAGTTAGCATCAGAAAGCATTAACCTTTAGCTGACTACAGTCATACATACTGATATATATGTACTTATGTCCGACTGCAGAGTCAGCGCAAAAGCAAAAGCAATGCTCATTCAGGTCAACTCTCTGACTTTTCACTGGCCAACTGACTGGCTGTCCATCTGTCCTTCTGTCTGATTGTCTGTCTGTCTGTTGGCTTCGCTCGCTCTTATTTGTTAAATTAAAAGCTTCATTGCATTGCAGTTGTTGTTGCTGTCCGTTGTTATTGGCATTATTATTGGCCCCACAGCGCACAAGACTTTCAATTAGTTTTATTAGGGTGTACCAAACATTCCATTGACTTGCACCCGCTGCTTGCTTCATAAGCTGCTCATTGTTGTTCTTGCTGTTGATGTTGTTGCCTGCTCATCGAAATTGGCCTTTTGACTTTTATGCTCAATTTTTGTATTGTGGCTGCTGCGGCACGGTCTGTGGTGCGCATTTCATAGGATTGTTTTTGAGTTTTATGAGCGATTCAGCCTCTGTCTTACTGCTGTGTGTTGTGGTTGCCGCATGATTGCGCAATATACACGCACACAACACACACACACACACACACACTTCCCCACGTATTGTATAATCCGTTATGATGCGCACATAATACTTGAATAACATTTTCTTGTATCATTTTTGCTGTACTTGAGAAACAAGAGAACTATCAAATTCAATGATCCGTAAATTAATATATCTTATTTGATTTTTTTCTGAATTCATTAATCGAATATTCTGTCTGCGGCAGTACATTTATTTGAAGGGTAACGAATTTATGGAATTAATTAAACGAATTTACACTTAAATTTAATAAATTACAATTAAAATTAATTTGGAAAAGGTTAAGTAAAAAGGATGCTATTCGTAGAAATCGTATCCTATCATTTTGGTTGTTTTTTTAATATGGAAAGCTTTAAGACTTTTTGCCTACTTCGGTTTTTTTTTTGTCCACACCCAAAATATGGCACACAAGATCTCTTTTACACATGTACTTGAAGACATGATTCATTCTTAAAAAGTTTTTATAAGGCATATTCAAGTTTTGCTGCTCTTAAATTTCCGAACATGACAATAATTCTGTTTTATGGTTTTTATATTGTGTGCTGTGTTGTTAGAACTCAAGTGGCGCCCCGCTTAAAAGCCTCACCCATTTCTACCCCAAGTCAACAGTAGGCTACAAATGTTTTTGACACGCCAAGTCTGTGGGTCAAATACTTATAATGCCCCTCAATGGCGAGGTTATTGTTGTTGTTTTTTGTGATGTGGTTATTTTTGTTTTGTTTTTTTTTTTTGTTTTTATTTTGTTGTTTTTTCAGTTGTTGAGCTGCGAAAAAGTTAGTGAACAACTTGAGCCGGCCCAAGTCATCGCTGGGAGCCGTTACACACGGCTGGTTGAACTTAAAACGAAGTTAACGCCAGGACACGCCATTGCAAGGATGTCCTTCTGGCAACGTTGCCTGGTTGATTATTGAAAATGTGTCGACTGGGTCCAGTTGCCATAATTCAAGCATGGCCAATGCGGCAAACGCCTGCGCCGATTTGCTAGCAACTTTTGTAAACTTACTTCCCAGCACTTTTCCCCATATTTTTTCCAACAATTTTTTGTGACTTTTTCACTTTTCTCTCCACTTTGTTGCAGTGAAAAAATCTGAAGAACTAAATAAGTTGCAATGTGAAGAGCGCTTGTGGGACAAGTGAAAACTGAAAACTGCGCGGCAGCCCAAGTAAAGTAAGAACGTGAAGAGGAAAACTCGCTCAGCGCTGTCAGAAAACTTGTCGAGGAGCCCAGGAAGCACCGAACCCAGAGACCAGAAGCAGCTGCTGTGACGATTGACAAGACAAAAACAAAAGCCACGACGGCAAGAGTTTGACAAGTGGCACAAGTGGCAGCAGCGCCCGAAAGCACGCAGCTAGTTTTTCAACTCAACTAAGACTTTTTGTGTATGCTTGCTGCCCCAAGCCGAAAACGTCCGCCCACACCCAGCCACACCCAGCCACGGAGCAGTCACCGCAGTCCATGGCCGCGTAGCTTTTGTATGCGGCTCGCATGCCGTGGCAGCAACAGCGTGAATCGCAAGTGCAACAACAATAGCAGCATTACAGGCGCTATGTGCTGGCCAAATACCGCAACGGAACGTCGGCAGCAAACGAAATAGAGCATCGGCAAGGACATAGCCAAACACTCGAACATTGGCCAAAAAGGAGCAGCTGGCTGTGCAGCACATGTGTTTTTGTGATGCGACAAGGACACTTCAAGTGCCGCCAACACACTTAAACGCAGCCCGAGCAGCAGCATCCACATCAACAGCATCTCTGGCATTAGTTTAAAACAGTCAACAGTCTTCAAGCGCAGCATGCGCAAACACAAAGCGCCGCCCGGCGGCCACCCAATCAGTTCCAGTTTCGTGGCAAGGACAATGCCAACAGTGCACAACGAGACAAACGCAGCGGGCACGACACCAGCAACAACAACAACAACAGCAACAGCAGTCGAAATGGAGCAGCAGCGCATGTTGCTCGGCCATGCGGCAGTTGACAGCGCCACGCCAGCAGCAGGAGCGGCAACAACAGCTGCTGCAACAAGCCCAACTAGTCGCCTTGCAGCGCCATCGGCCACCTGCCAGCAACGATCTGCAGCAGCAGCAACAGCAACAGCCAAAGCAGCGAGCAGCAAGGAACGGCCGCGATATACAGTTAAGCTCATGTCCTTGCTGCACATCGCCTGCTATGTGCTGTGCCTGTGCGCCTTCAGTTTCGCACTCTACGCGAATGTGCGACAGACCCGACTCGAGCAGCGACTGCAGCGCCTGCAGCAGCTGGACGCGCGCATCGTCGAGCTGGAGCTGCGTCTGGAGCAGCAGCAGCTGCTGCACTGGCCCGACGAGCAGGCCAAGATCCTGGCCAGCCCCATCATCAGCAGCAGCAGCAACAGCAGCAGCGAAAACGGCACATCCTCACACCTGGCGCTACATGTGCGTCGCGAGTTACATCGCCTGCGTCGCGATGTTTCCCACCTGCAACTGACGCGACGTCAGCAGCGCCGGCAAGCGGCCGAAGCGGCTGCCGCTGCAGCAGCAGCTGGATTTGGAGGCAGCCCAGCAGCCAATGGCGAGTGCCAGTGCCAACCAGGTGAGTTGAAGCGTTTTCAACGCATATTCAATTGCTCATAAAAAACTCTATTTGAATGCGGGGGCAGTTTATTGAAGTGAAAACAATGTGGGCAAATTTATGACGACATGTGTGGAATTTTAGCTACGAATAGAATTTAAAACAAATTATTATTTATTTATTTGAACATTATCTTACATTATTGCAACAAATTTTATACAATATTGATATTAATTTATGCTGATTATGCCCGTGAAGAGTGTATTATGATTTTGTCATGGAATGTGAAACGCATAAAATAAGACAGCCTCGACCCGATAAAGTATATATATTCTAGATCAGCATCAACAGCCGAGTTGATATAACCATGTCTGTCTGTCTGTTTCTACGCGAACTAGATTCTCAGTGTAAAGATATCGTCTTGAAACTTGTATAGGCCCCTCTATCTGTTGCAGACATATGTGGGAACCGACCAGATCAGACCACTTTATCATTGCGAAAAATAGATTCTTGATGGCAGAGTATTCTGTTTTCTAATAACTCAGCATTTACGAGCTTCACTATGCTCACAAATCTGCAAGATCGTAAGGCAAATGTCTAAAAGGGTATTAAATCTTCAGCGTGCCGAAGGTATTCTGACTTTCTCGTTTTTATTTATATTTAAGCAGTACGAGATCTTCTGCGCCGTGTTCTGTATTTCTTTAGTTTGCAGTCCTTGTTCTCTTTGATTTTTGTGACAAATAATATCTATATATTTTTGAGAGTAATGTTCTATAATTCAATTTGGACTCGGCAATAAAGTCGTAAGTCCGATTAAGTTTGACGAATATCGCAAAACTATTATGTATAAGGTATAAGGTCTCGATATGGTATCTTTTGAGACAAGAGGGTTGTCATTTTTATGAATGTATTTATTTCATATCTTAGCGAATATATTCAACCTTTTCTTTTAACCAATTTGAGCTCCATTTCAAACCATTTTGATATTCGCACATTCCTGAATTTGTCGGACAGTCTGCCCCATGTGGACTTTATGGGCGACACTTATCGATTTGATGGCTCACGCGTTGACCAGTAAATGCCTTTATTTGTGGTCTGTGGCTTTGGGCTGGTTAATGCACAATTGGTCAGACATGTCAGTCATACACACACACACACACATACACACCGACTAAAATACACACGCACATAAGTCAACAAGTCATGGATGTGTGTGTGAGTGTGTGTGCGGCAGGCGTGAAGCCAACGCAATTTAATTATTTGCGTCTGGGCAAATTTATGGCAGTTTAGAGATTTCATTAATTGGAAAAGTGTTTCTTTTTTCGCTCGCTTCCATCAGAGGGCATAAACTGCGCACCCTCCCATCCATGTCTACCCACACATGTTGGGGAAATTCCTGTGTGTGTGTGTGTGTGTAATTTGTCTGAGCTGTTGGCTGCCGCCTTTTGTGCTGTGTTTGGCTTTCGGCTTGCAGCTTCTTTCGCTGCTCGTTCCGTTTGGCATTGCCAAACTTTGATTACTCGGGGATTAGCCATGTCCTTTGAGTGCCTCCACGCAGGCTGCTGGCTGACTGCCTGGCTGCCAGCTTGCCTTGTGGTTTGCATAAATTTTGCTTAAAATACTTTTTAAAAACTTTTGCGACACTCACACACATCGCTATCGCCAGCACAATCAGTCCCACCCCTGACCTTTGCTTATGGGATTTAGCCGGGAAATGAACAACTTTGTGCTTTCCGCGTCCTTGTGCTCGTTCTGATCTTCTTCCTCGTCCTCGTCATCGTCCGCGTCCACGTCCGTGTCCATGTCCCTGTCATAGTCGCTGGTGTCCTTTGTGCGCTTGTCGCATTAACGCAATTTGTCTTGACATTCGCACAATTAACTCATCCACTCGAGTGCCGCTAAGCTGCTGGTAAACTTTCCAGCTAATCCGAGCCACGTATGGACCACTCCAGCCACACCCACACCCACACCCATACCCACGCCCACTCAAGCTGCAGATGTTGCCCAGCATATGACGCATACGCAGCGTGTGCCAGCAGGGCCAGCAGGACAAACAGTTCGCCGGCAACTAAATGCTCAGCGCAATTATTTAACAACTTGGCCAATTGGGCCCGCCCCCGCTTTGCTCTTGGAGACAAGATACGACAAAAAGTTTTCTAATCGATGCGCACGCAGGTCGAAAGTTTCAGCTCACCAGCGCAACGGTCGAAGTTTCTTTTCAAAGTCACTGCAAATAAATATATTTTGGACTCCCGGCATTCCCGACGGCTTTGATAAGCGTGTGCCAGGCGAACGGTGCCGCCTCCGGCTGCTGGCAGGACAGCCTTTTCACAACTCTGAGCCGCACACAATAAATCAAAGCCACACGGGGTGGTTAGGGAGAGCAGGGACGTTGTGCTTATCTCAGCGAGAGACTGCGGCAAAAGTCTTCATAGCCAACACTTGACTTGTCTGCATATGCAGTCCAATTGTCCTGAAGTTCGTGCCAAGGATATTGCAGAAAAGCAGAGGGATGCCTAACTTCGAAGACGCTTCGGTTAAAAAATTAGTCGAACGGCAATGGTATGGCAAAAAGACAGTACAGTGTGCTCTGGCTACAAGCAATAAATACAAAAATTGTCTTTTATTAAAAAGGTATTTTATATAAATCCAGGCTACAAGCGTAACAATAATAGGTTTCATAAAATTAAATCACTTTATTAAACATTAAATTTGCTAGCTAAATATTTGTATTTACCGAATTAAATTCATACTCCATATTCATATGAATAATATTGTTTCCCTTTGGTTTCCGCCTGGCTTTAAGGTTCGGAGCAGGGTCAATTAAAAATTGGAATTTCGGGTTCAATCTGTTTCGATGCACAACCGAATTACAGATATTTATGTCATTCATGGATATCAATATTTGTGAAAATTAAAACTCGTTCCCACAGTTGCACCCTGTGTTCGTTCCTGTCAAACTGCAAATGACATTTGGCCACTTCTCATTCAGTCCTAAGCTTCTCTCATCCCCTCGTGGCCTGTAGGACACTCATCTGCCATCTGCTGCAGCTCTAAACCTGAACCTGAACCGAGTGCTATATATGCCTGTTCCTCTCCCTACCCCACTAATTCTGACCATAAGCTGCTGCTGCTGCTGCTGCTGCTGCTGTTGCCCCCTGCCAGTCGCACACTTTATCATAGCCAAGCGCAAAATCCACTTTAGCAACAACAACAGCAGCGCTCGACGCCCAACGGACATCGTTGGCTGCGTGTGACATTTTGCAAGCCAAAATATGTAGAACATGCCACAGAGAGCATCAGACACACACACACACACGGCCAGTCAGAGTCAGTCACAGAGAGACTGTTAGAGAAAATGGCATATGAACTATGGAAATTCCCAATTAGGTTTTAATGCGTACAAGTGCTTTTTATTCAGTGCAATTTCTCACAGAGCATAGCCCAAAGCAGTCAGAGATGCCCGCCTTTACTTACTTCGCCCCCGCCATCGGCCAAATTCCGCTCACGTGCTGAGCAAAGTAGCTCCCCCAACTCCCCGCACACCCCCAGCGCCACAGTGTTTTTTATATTTCACAGCTGCTGCTGCTGCTGCTGCTGCTGCTGTTGCTTTGGCTGCGTATATTTTTGCCAGTCATAAATTTCAATCACGTTGTCAGGATAACACCAAGTGGATATACTCATATGTCTCCCGGCTGCTACAGTGCGTCTCTCTGCATATGTTACCACTGCTGCTGCTGCTGCTGCTGCTGCTGCCATCAGGTACCAGCCAGGCTGGGCCAGGGGCAAACGTACCCGCCACCCCGCCACGTCATGGTCCTTGTTGCTTCTGCTGTGTGGTTTAAGGGCGTGCCAAAGCAGAAGGACAAACTCTCACCTACCACGGTGGTCGCTGCCACCTCCCCCTGCCCCGTTTGCGGTCACAGATGCCAGTATATTTCGGCCATTGGCAGCGGCACAGACTGTACAGGCAATACCAATATCAATTCGAATGATAACAGACAATGCCATACCGGTGCAGAGCAGACCACACCTCGGCATATCGATTGTCGCTACATATCAATTGATTTCCTCTTCGTTTTCAATTTGGTCTGAACCCGCCCGCTCCCGCTCCCGCTCCTGCTCCTGCTGATGCTCCTTCCTCTGCTGTTGCCTGTTTTCTGCTTCATGCTGAGCATTTTGTTTATGTGACTTGGGAGAGTTGTTTGCTGTGCTCGGTTGGTTTTTGTATTGGTCTTGTGCCTTTCGTTGTATGGGCTTTCATTTGTGACTTTGCGTGACTTGGGGCTTACCTGGACAACTGAACACGCCTTGATTACCATTTAAATGCTGCGCTAATAGGCCAATAAACCATTTCGATTCACAGCAGACAACAGACGGCAGCAGCAACAACAACAACAGCAACAATTATAGCAGCAACGAATTATTAATTAGTGAAACAAAATTAATGCGCAACTGTCACCATTATTTGTGTCGTCCCATCCGCTCACCCACACACGACGCGACATCGAATGCCACATTTGTTGATCAATTTATTTATTCGCCTTGCTCCCCTCGCTTGGCAGTCCACCCCCGCCCACCGCCGCTGTCTATCCTTTGCCCTTGCCTATATGCTGGTCCAAAGTTTTTTGTTTTATTTTTGCGGTCTCAACTTCTCAACGCTTGTGGCCGCTGCTGTGCACCGGAATTCCTCGCTGGAAAAAAAACTATTAAAAATAACACAATCCACGAGTCAGTCAGATAGACAAACAGGCCGCCTGGAAAATGGAAATGGGAAAAAAGTCAGCAAAGGCAGCGGAAAACTATAAGAGAAAATAAAATTAATTTATTGGCAGCAATAAAATAAATGAATTACCACAAAAAAATTGCATAAATTTTATTTAATTCTGATTCCGCTGCCGTTACCGAATTTCGTTGCGTGTTTCTGTCCATTTCTCAATTTATTTCTGGCACATTTTTCCACAAGGGCCAGTTTTTGATGAGTATCAGCGTCAGTCAGGTGAGAAGTCAATTAAAATTTC